TAAGCATGTGTATGATTAAATAAATATTTCTTTTATGAAAAAAGTGATGTTAAATTGATTTGCTATTTTATGATTAAATAAGTATTATAAGAGATTTAATATAAAATTATGTAAGCCTAATTCCAAGCCTAATTCCAAGAGTTATACAGTATTAACCAAGCATGAGTGTCACAGAGTAAACTGCCAAATTCCAAGTCGCACCACTACATTACCTCTATTTATAAGGTTGTTGACCAAATAACCTAATGCCAAATAACCAAGGCATTGAACGCCCAAAAAGGTAAAACGACCAAAAAGCCTAGAAAAGTTAATTACTTGAAAAACACAATGTTTCAGTGGGAAAATAGTCAAAACTAACCAAGAAAATATAAAGAAGAAAGAAATAACGTGCTCGTTCAATTGTATTACACATGTCAACAAATCTACCCACAGATCTGACAAAAAATTGTTTTAAAGAAAAAAATACACCGGTCACTGAGATACTGCAACGGTCACCTAGATTCAACTCCGTTCACCAGGATACCACTCTATTCACTGAACTGTAAACATTTTATCTAATTCTTGAATGAAAATTATCGAACTCCCTTATTTTTACATTATTCATTTTCTCTCCAATTCTCATCTCCCTCCTTGCATGAAATTCTCGCCTTATGCATATTCACATCTTCTATAATAATAAACCTAATAAGTCTTACTTATCTATTGTGGAAAAAGACCACAAAATTGCCACATTCGACTCTACAGATAACCATGATTCGGTTAACATATAGAGTATATGATCTCTCTATTGCATTATGCTGCTAATTATATTGAATAGAAAATGACACAAGAATATAAATACTCTCTTTGACTCTGTCCCAAAAAAAATGTTCATTTCATTGCACTAAAATAATACAAAAAAAGTAAATTATTTTTCCGTAACGGATAGAGTATTATTTATGTTACGGAAGGAGTGTGATGATATCAATTCATTCAAGAGTTAAGTTGATATTATAGGGTGATCATGCACTTATTTTCTTAAATAAGAAAAAGGCAGAGGATAATAGGCTAGTGTGGCAGTAAAGAAATCAAAGAGACACCTCGTAGGTAAATTTGTAAGATCATTGACACTAGAGATTCAGGGGGTGTCCAATTAGGTGGTGTGAAATCCAGTTTGTGTGAGTCATTCCAAGTTTTAAAATTTTTATTGCATGGTTCATAAATTCGGAATGGGTCGGGCCCATAAAAGTGTGATTGAATCCTCTCATTCCCATCAATTCGGAGGGCATAATATCTTGTAAATAGACTTACTTATGCCCTTCCTCTTCCTTCTAATGTCGGCCATCAAAAGTTTAGAACTCCATCCCCGCAACTTCTCTTCGTCTCCCAATTAAATCTCTATCCTTAAACTTCTCACCAGAATGAACCTCTCCAATCTAAACTCCATTCTTAGAAATGTGATTTCTTGAAGTTAACCAAGTGGTCGTGCATACAGATAATAAAGTAATAGTGGATATCTTGACTAAGCAAGTAGCTTTTCCATGGAAATACTACTTTGAGATGGTAAAAATACACTTGATCATACAGAGAAGAGGTTTTTCGATAAGCAACATTTACAAGGAAGCAAATGCAGTATCTGACCGGTTGGCAAGTGATGCTTCTCAAGGTTTGCTCAGAGATTTACCAGAGTTTCTCTAGCTTGCTAAGGGCTATAAATGATTTTTTTATTCTTGATCAAAGTTTTTTTCCTTATTTACGTATACGATTAAAATAGTGTTTGCTAATTGTGTACAAGCATCTGGGCAAGTCTGACGCACTTCCCTTGAATTTTTCTTTTATGATGGAATAACATTGGAGAGCATGCCTGCCAGGTACCGGCCTCGCTAAACCAAGAAAAAACGATAATCAAAATTGTATACAAGCCTCGGTGGTTATGGGATTGATGGCGACTGGAGCAGCCAAATTGAGGGTTATCCGAATTAGTTAAATTTCACATCTTGTGTATGAATTGGAAATTGTTGTTGCTTAGATTCCATGTTGCCCTGAAATTGGAAGCCGTGGAATGAAATAAAATTGATTAGGGATATAGATTCTTTCATCTTTTATCATTATTCTTTTTTCTAAATTTTTTCCCCTCAGTTCAGCTTCTGATTTGGGTGTGCCTTGATTTTTGGATACAAGTTTTCTTATTTCACCAGCTATTGCGGTGGTGGAGGGAAACATAGCCAATGGTGGTAGGAGTAGGGGGTGGCGCTAAGGTAGTAGGGTGGTTGTAGAAAGTATAGAGTAGTTTTTAGAGAAGGATAAAATTGGAATTTCTTGTTAATTCCAACTTTTGTATACATGTAAACCAAGAAACACTTTTGAGACCAATTACCATCTCTTTTCTATGAATCTCATTTAAAGTTTATGAATCTCATTCCAAGGTATCACACCCTCGACCGAACAAGGCATCCCTTCAGTAAGACGAACTGAGAGAATGTATGCATGGCTTTTACGTAGAAATTTTAGTGGCCTACATTTTCACCCACAACATACAAAACCAAATCGGCTGCTCTAAAATGAAAGTATTATTGACAGAAAATAAGAAATGATCCATTTTCAATCTTTATATATTTATTTAAGGATACAAAAGAGGGAATTCAAAACTTAGTTGGCAGTTTGATCCAACACAGTAATGATTCGTCTATCATGAAGGGCCAATAAATAAATAAACAAACAAAATAACAAGCATTTTCACACATGAAAGTGAGTTCAAAGAATAATTTCGTGGAGGGAATGGCCAGTGTCATTTTGGTAAGTAGTTCTGAAAGTTTCATAGGGGCCATTACCTATTGAACAGAATGAAAGACAAAACTACATTTGCTTGATATGGTTTCAAGTTAATGAAAAGGAAAAGATGAGAGACGTAAGTATATTGATATGGAACTGCTTTCTTTGTGTTTGTTTTGTTGCTCTTAAGAAATTCCACAAACAAAAAAAAAATCCCGAAGTAACCAAAAGCAAGTCGAAGTGGTACTAATCTCTTTTCAGATCAAGTGGATGATATTTCTAATACCCGAAAGAGTTCATGATACAAAACCAAAACCTCATGAGATTTATTAAACTCTAAAAAGAGGAAGAAAAAAAATACTCAAAAGTTTGCAAAATCCCTGGAGTTAGTATAGCCTGATCCTAGTATAAAATAGTTCTTCTTTTAACCTACATCATCGCTCTTTGAGTCCTCATCCCTTCATGATTATGTATTCTTATTTTAACCATGTTGATGATAAAATACAGGAATATGTCCTAAGGTAGGCCAAATTATGTTCGTGTAGTTTGTGCGAGGTCTAACTTTCTTCAAAAAGGTTGAGTACTTTGTAAGCTTTGAAGATGAAGAATCAAAATAAAGTAGATCTTGAGGAATTATCAGAGGATTTCATGTAATAATTTTTGTGTTACTTAATTTTGACACGTATCATTATTTCATTTATTATTCTTTATCTAAGGGTTTGTTATGTATTAGTTAAGTTTTATAACTTAAAGAGTATCCACAATTGTACATGTCTTTGTGAGTATTGCTACATGACGTGTGGCAGAAAATGTTTCCAATGAATGTTTATGCATAAAATTAAATGGGATAAAGTTAAACTCAAACTTAAAATTACATTTACCTATTTTATATCAATATTTGATTAAGAGTGAATCACAAAATAGGTCATCGAACTATTGGATAATTTTCTCACAGGTTATCCACCAAATTTATTTATAAAATAGGACCCTTTACTAAGCCAAAAACCCATCCGAGGCGATTCTATTACTTTTGGACATTAAATCATGAATGAAATCCATTTTTAACATGCAAAACATATGAGTTGGGTCTGGGGCAATTTTGTCATTTTGAATTTTTTTAAAAATATTTTTTTCTAAAAAAAAAGAATCAGTTAAGACAAGTCAGTTTTCCTTGACTCCATATAACACATAGAGTACTTACGAAAAAAAAAATCATAGATTACTTACGAAATCTAAATGTTACTCATTCTATCTTAAAATGATATTTTGGTCATTGAATTATTATTGTTAATCTTCCGATGGTTAAAAACTATAACAAATCATTGAATTTCATGAAAAAGATAAATACTTGCACTCTTTTTTAAAAAAAAATGCTTCCACTTTTTAACAGTATAATTGTTTTATAATTTTTAGAACTTGGAAGTTAAAATACAAAAGGTAAATTAATTATTAAAATTTAGTGATTAGTATCAATATATACAAGTTAGGAAGTATAAGAAAAACTACAAAAATAAAATTAAAAATTAATATTTTAAAAATACAAAATGACAAAATTACTTTTGGACCCAACTCACATGTTTTGTATGTGAAAAATAGCTTTCCTGCATGATTTAACGCTCAAAAGTAACAAACTGACCTTGGATGAATTTTGGCTTAGTAAAGGGTTATATTTATAAATAAATTTGATTGATGACATATGATGAAATTACCCATTAGTTTGATGACCTATTTTGTGGTTCACTTTTTTATTAATTGATTTAATTTATGTAGATATACAAAGTTCAGTTATTTTATTTTGATGATTCCATAATTTTTTTATCTCGCATGGAACTTTATATCAAGAGCGAAATTGAATGAAATATGAAAGTATATAAAATGAACAAATTATGTAATTATTTTCATAAGAACTTTCTTCTTTATTGTTGATGATAATCATGCATCTATGGCAAATTTAGCCATAACATTTATCTACCTTCTTCAACAACCTCACACCTACGAAAAATAGTGTCATTCTGTTTTCACATTTTTTTCATTTGTTTTTTGATTAACGAAACTGGTAGCTGGCAAGAATGATAATGACATTCTCTAAACAGCTAGGATTTCTAAATTAGTCCTCCCCCATCATTCATAAATAGCTCCCAAACAAATATTTTGAAACATACAAATTAAGAAACAAGAAGAGAAAAAAATATACTCTTTTTAGCTAAAAATAGGACAAACAAAAATATATTATCCAAAAGAGGAAAAAAATGGCGAGGAGGATGCTTTGCATCACCATTTCCTTATATTGCTTATTCATAGCACATGCTCAAATTTTTGACATCACAACCTACGGTGCAAAGCCTGGTGGTGCTGACATTAGCCAGGTACAAACATAGAGTTGAATTATAGTAAAATATATGAATCTTTCAGTGACAAAAACACATACTTATAGGAACTCCGAAGGTTGGTTCTAAAGGAGCCTTTAAATAGGATCCTGCGGAGCTACCGAGGGAACCTGATTTCATCATTGTTCTATTGATGGTTTTTATTATGGTTATATTTACGCTCTGTTAACTGCTTGGAAAGGTGCATGTGATTCTTCAACACCAAGCACTATTTTGATTCCAAAGGGCAAATTTATATTGAAGGAAGCATATTTAAAAGGCCCTTGCAAGGCTCCCCATATTGCACTTACTAACCAAGGCTCCGTCATTGCCCTCCCTGAACCGACATCAGTAAAAAAGAACAATGAATGGATAATGATACAATACGTCGACCATCTCACCATCAACGGCAACGGTGTCTATGATGGTGTTGGAGCTAAGTCTTGGGCACTAAACAAAGAACATTGTTGGAATTCTACACAATGTAATCAATTTCCAAATGTAAGTTTTGTATTATTTACAATTGCTACTCCCATCGTCCCGAAGAAACATATATAGTGTATATTATCTAATGCAAGTCTCCATACATGATTTTACAGAATTTTGGTCTTCACAATCTCAAGCATTTAACAGTTAGGGACATAACATCCAAGGATGCCAAATCATTCCACTTCATCGTAAGTGATGCTCAGAATGCAACATTCCAAAATCTAAAAGTCACTGCACCTGGAAATAGTCCAAACACAGATGGTATCCACATTGGAAAGAGCAGACAAGTAACCATCATGGACTCGTCCTTCAAAACTGGCGATGATTGTGTCTCCATTGGGGATGATACTAAAGGAGTTAACATTACGAGAATCAGTTGTGGACCTGGACACGGAATTAGTGTTGGAAGTCTCGGAAAGTATAATGATGAGAAGCCTGTTGTAGGAGTTTGGGTGACAAACAGTAATCTCTCCAACACCATGAATGGCGTTAGAATCAAAACTTGGGCATACTCCCAACCAAACGAAGCATCTAATATGCATTTTGAAAACATCCGAATGGATAATGTCGGCAACCCTATCAATATTGACCAACTTTATTGCCCATCTGGTGGTTGCAATATGAATATGGTAAGTACTCATACCCTACCTTTTCTAACAAAATCCAACTGATTTTCTAAAAACAATATCATCTCAAAATGAAACTCGTGTATGTCGAATAATAAACATGACTTTATCTTTGGTGTGAGAACATCCATTGAGCTCTCCTTATATTAATAATAATGAATATAATTTCATGTGATTACACCTAAATAATTTTCGTCCCATTCATGTAGCCATCAAGGGTTAAACTCAACAAAATCAGCTTCAAAGGTATTACAGGGACTTCATCAACTCCCGTTGCCGTGAATCTGGTCTGCAGTTCTACTTTCCCTTGCCAAGGTGTGGAGATTGGTAACATTGATTTAAAATTCAAAGGAGGTGCTGCACAATTCGTCTGCTCAAATGCAAGGCCCGCATTTTCTGGCAAACAAAATCCTAAAATAAACTGTAGATAAGGTGAAAGGGCCCTACTTGGACTATATAACTTCCAAATTAGATTGGGCCGGTTGATAATTTGCCATCATGTTTGTATTATGTTGTTTATATGAATTCAACCTCCCCATGTTTGTCTTTGGTGATGACTTATAAACAGCCTAAGCTTAAGAGTCTTTTGTCAGTCATAAACTGACTCATAAACAGGCACAGGAGATTCTCCTCTTAGAAATCTCTAACGATAAACACTCGTAAACTTTTAATTTAGTACTCTTTTGTTAACATAATCATTTCACAAACTAGATGTTAAACTCGTCTGTTGGATGGGCAGATAAATTTAAATAGAAATTATAAAAGCAGAAAAATAAAATTTTGTACGTCTATTTAAAAAACTTTTAAAAAATAGTTTACATTGAGTTTTAAGATCTATACTAAAAACAATACAGGGTATTTTTTTAGGACAGGGGGAATACTTTAGCAATGTATGTATAATGACAAACAATTTTATGAACTAACAGAGTTAATTGATTCTGAGATCAAAATAAAATATAGAGGAACAATCATACAAAATAAGAATTGGAGTTTATTTTATTGATTGCGAAAAATTTATCATGAAAAAATTATAAAAATTTTATTTATCATTGAGTATAAAAACTTCCGGCCCACTTCCACTTCCAATTCTTATCATTCATATTGAAAAAGGCATTAGGTTTATCTCTCTTTTGAAAGAGAGATTTATGAGTGAAATCAAATGGTTAAATTAGTCTTTCAAAAAAATCCAATGGGTTTGTGGCATGGATCCAAGGGTAGCTAGGTTTATCACTTCCCATTCCACGTGAACACCTTAATGAAGTTTGTCACTTAATAGCTAAAAGGTATTCCTTTGGAGTTTGTTGGTATTTTTTCTCCCTGAAAAGAAACAAAATTTCTGGACATGGTTGTAAGTAAATTAATAAGAGCTTTAGTCCATGGATGAAGTATAAAGTTTACCATCCCATCAATTAGAAAAGCCCAAAGGCTTGATAATACATCGACCGATTTTCCGAACAATGAGTACACGGACCATGTGAGGGAGATCTTTGATAAAATAAAACTAATGACTGCCTTTTGGAGAATATTTTAGGTTTTGCATTGTTTGTGTTGTCCATTACCAAACTGTTTCCTTCTTCCCCATATACGTGATATGCATGTAGGGTTCTTGTATCCTTCTTCTAGCTTTGAGTTCTCGCATCTTCACCTTCTAATCCGACTTGATCCGCATGGGATGAGATCATGAAAAAAATGAATTAGATGTCCTGCCGTTTGGGATTGATTTTAGTTCAATTTGAAGAAGGATACAAAATTGGATAATTTGTTACGGAGAAAATCAATCCCAAATGGTAGGCCATCAATTTGATATTTTTCGTGATCTCATCCCATGAGAATATGTTAGATTTCCAATGGAAGAGATACAAAATTGGAATCATGACTGCCGCGAGTGATTTGAGGGATTTGATTGTGTGATCTGGGATACCAAACAGCTAAGATTTGTTCGTTCAAAAATTCTCCAAATCACTATCTACTTTGATTTTGTTATAGAAATTAGCAGTAATTAATGGTAATTTATTTTTCGATTGAAATTTTAGAAAATTCCCACTTAGAACTAGATCCTATGTAGCATGATGTCATACCTTAGACTTTCTCTCGCTAGAGTTTGCCCTATAGTATATAAATATTAAATTATATTACATTCTATTATTTTCTCAAAATTTGTTCTCTCCAATTAAACAAAAAGACCCCAGTCTTAAATCACCATGGACAACAAGATACCACACTAAAAAACAAAAAAAAAAAACATGTTTTTCCGGTTGTTATTTTTTTCCAAAGATAAAGGGCTGCTTTAGCCCTTAAAAAAAGTTTAAGTTTATATTCCTGAACTAGTGGATCATAAACTAATCTATGAGTAGGAGAAATTATTCCATACACCAGCTGTAACACATCAGCACTCATGATGTGGTGCAGCAATCCAATCCCCTAAGGACATGTGTAATTTCTAATACTCACAATAATTATCAATTCCATATATATCTCAAAGATTCACGGTACTGCTGCTTCTAACTTCCATCGACGCCGGAAACCCGTAGTGATGCAATTTCAATGGCGACCTATCCGAAATAAGGGGAATAAATTCACCAATTTTATCTTGGATGAACAATTGTCCCTTCTCTAATATAGCTACTTTTTAAGGTTCTTCGATCCACGAACTATTTTATTTTGGATGGCATTTTCAAATCTAATGGATGGAGGTTCAATATGCTCTAAAATCAATTTTTTCCTCTAAAACCGAGTTTGCTATCCGGAATTTTGTTCTTCAAAAAAAAATTTCTTAGCCACCCAAGCAATTTTTTTTCCTCCTTAATCACATTATATGCTTCAAAAAATTTAGCCACCCTTACCTCAAAGAGTATATTCTTCTCCTTCGTCCCCTTTTCATCATCTTCATCTGCCTTTTCCCGGCTTGACTCCCTCTAAATAATAGATTATCAATTTTTCAATTACTTCGAAATATTATTAGTTTTGTTCCCTTTGTCTTTTTCATCCACCTTGCAAGTTTCAGTCCCTTTTTACCAGATACATTTTTCTATTAGCATTCCAGTGTTGAGGGTCGGAGCAACGACAGGTCCAATCTTTGGAAAAATATACAGTGGGATTTGATAATTTTACATTTTATTTAAAGAATCGTATTTTTTTATTTTAGGCAACAAGTTTAAAGTAAAATATTATTTAAAATGTTTTTATGTTTTTCCATGTCATTATAGGATTGGGTTGCTTCACCACATCATGAGTGCTGATGTGATACAGCAGGTGCATGGAATAATTTCTCAGTGAGTAGACCATTCGAGATGTTCTTGGAACTATGTTTCCTTGTACCTAAAAGAGGGGAATTTGATAAATTATGAGTAAGTAAAAAAAGATATCCAAAGTTAGGAAAACCTCGAATCTAAAAAAAGCAACGCTATTGGTTCCTTTGATTTTCAAAAGCAATCCCGTCCGGAAGGACGAAATATTAAATATTTTGGTTTTTTGATTTTCTTTTTTTTTAAAATTTTAACAACACAAAAGATATTTTACTTATTTATTTTTGTTTTTCGATTTTCTTTAAATTTTTTAATTATTAAAATCTAAGTATAAAATTATCCATATCCAAAGCTCACTTCTAGTACTTACATTAGGTATTGCCTCTAATTAAACTCTTCTTCTTCTTTTCTTTCTTTTTTTTTTTAAAAAAAAATCTCTATTTGAACTCTCAAGTTTGACTTTAGGTCGAGTACAGTACGTAATAATGTTCAAAATTGGTTACTTTTGAAAAATTATTTACTTACAATTTGTAAGAGAAAAATTTCTAAGTTACAAATTATTTATATATCTTCTTTAATTATTCTTTGACGAAGCTAGCTTAATATCTTTTTCCTTCTGAATTTCAATAATGTTTTATAACATTTCATCACTTCATATATAATTACTTGTTGAAATTAAGTATCATTTTCTGAAATTGAAGTCTCGCACAAATACCGTACCATTTATGATTCTCAAAAGGGCAGATAATCAATTTGTCTATGGCCAAATGGCAAAAATTAACAAAAAATTCTTCCAGTTCTGTATATAAGTATATTTAATGTTCACCAAAAGTGGACACTCTACAAATATGAAAAAAAATAAAAAAAAAATGTCACCAAAAGAATTCTTGCACCATCAATAATAATTGTCCTCAATTTAATTTGTTCTTTGACTCCCATGATCAATCATGATTGTCCTCCATTTAATTTGTTCTTTGACTTTCCACGATCAATAATCACAGTCCTCAATTATGTGCTTTGACTTCCACAAAATTCATTGGAAAATCAATTCCCGAACAACCCACCTGATCATATATAGTAGGCAAAATGTTGTTTTCCAATAAACCAACAAAACAAAAACAATGGAAAGCTTTCCTAATCGATTGATGCTGGTCATCATGTTTCTTGCTCATTCAGTTTGCCTAGCATTTCAGTTTCAATACACCGAAAGTACTTCTAACCATTCAGTCAATCCGAGCTGCATCGATAGCGAATGGAGAGCCCTCATGGATATCAAAGGTGCCCTGATCGATACAACGGATCGCTTGTCATCATGGACTGGAAAAGACTGTTGTTTCTGGGATGGAATCACCTGCGACAACGTCACCGGCGTCGTGAAAATGCTTGATCTTTCTATGAGCGACTTGGGAGGCAAAATACATCCATCCATACTGAATTTGGAGCACTTGGAGTATTTGGATCTTTATTACAACAACTTTTCAGGTACTCCGATTCCACCATTTCTCGGATCCTTGAAAAATTTGCGGTATCTCGACCTTGATGCAAACTTTGGTGGGGAAGTTCCTCCACATCTTGGGAATCTCTCCAACTTGTAACAGTTATATATTGGTGAACCAGTTTATCTTTTAGATACTCTTCTAACAATCAAGAGTCTCAAGTGGATTTCTAGGATCCTCAATGCAATATGCAACTACAGCACATCTCCCAACCTCATTGGAAATGGTTCCTAGCTAAGTGTTCTTTCCCATATCTGAGGATTAGATAGTTATATTTTATTTAAGTTTTAAATAAAAAAACATAGATGAAGATGTTAGGGAATTATTGTTTAATCTTTGTAAGACATATACCAAGGGCTCTAGTTTAGAAGACGAACTGTCAGGGGATATTAGACTATCTTTGTAAGACACTTCCTAAAGGTAATTGTACAAGATCCGTAATGAGTTTTTACAAAACTTTGTAAGACGGTTCTTTCCATTTGGGTAAGCCTTAAGCACTGCCTTGTGTAACTTTTACTTTCAATTAATAAAATCGGGGTCCTCCCGCAAAATACTGCCCTGGATTTCCATAAAAAAAATGGAGGGTCTTTTGCATTTCTCTAAGCAAAGTGGGCAATGGATTGTATAAACATTAGAAGTAACTTTTAAAAAGCTAAATGATAGTGGCAGATGAACACATATATAGATTTT